TTTTATTTTTGTAAGTTTGTTTCTAAGTAGTTAAAGTTTACCCGGTTTTGTGTTAATCAGTCCAATATACAAGTAACGGGCGCTATGCACAGGATTTTAGTTAGTATTTTGGTGTTTTTGTTGTTTAAACTAATAACAGTAATTACTTATCACATAAACTCCCCTGGTTTAATTATTCGAATAAGACGATATCTTCGTCCGTTGACAGCCGCAACAACTTTTCGGTTTTGTGGAAGAAGTATTATTAATATCACTAGGCACACACTGCTTGTAATAATTACGTATGTATTCTAACACAAATATACGTATTTGGAACTTAAATATCACTTAAAACTAATTTTAAAATTAAATTAAAACTTGAGGTCGGTTTTTGACGACCTGCTACCAGTGTTGCCAACGTAAAACAACGTAAATAAAACTTTGTATGTGATCAATACGCATAAAGTCAACTACACCTGCACATAAACAAACAAAAACAGAAACAATAGAAGCTCAACATTCATCATACTGTATTATCATTAGAGAGGGATCCGTCACTCCCAGCGGTTTAATTAAAATGTATTGCACTCCCGACCTCTAGCCAGACACATTACAGATGCATTATTTATCTTTAGTTTATATATATTAAAGGTTTCACTAGGATTTAGATAAATCACATACAAGGCTTACTGACTTTAAGGTATAGAATTTATTTCAATTAACTCATAAAAAGGCACTTTATTAACATCAAAAAACTGCCCGCCTAAGTCTAGTTCATACAGCAGCAAATCTAATTAAAACAATTGTTTCTTTGAAACGTTGAGCATGTTAGATAGCACAGATATAGCCTGTTATGAAATTAGTTAGGGCTGAAAATACACAGTTTCAGGTTAGATATAATGTAAAACAGACTGACTAAAGTTTTTATTGATCTAGCTTTTTTGAGAAGAACAAAATGGTCCACTGACTTTTCCAACCCTGGGAGGGGCGAGAAAGTGTCAAACTCTTACTGATAAAAAAAACACCTCGTTCCTTCTCCTGCTCATAGCCAAGCCGTGGTGCATCATTGCCACCCAAAATCCGGGCTGGAAATATTAGTAACTAGTTGAGAGTTTCTGTTTGTAGCTTCCATCGAACAGTGAAACAACCACAGCGTTGTGTTTCACCGTGTAAGTGAGGTTACCGGAGGCCCAATCCTTCCCCTCCCCCAATCCCTCCCGAATCCATAAATCTCCAAATCCCTAATCCCTAAAAGGTCGGCAACGCACTCGTAACTCCTCCGTTGCGTGTGGCGCTGATTGCTTACCATCAGTATTCCGTCTGCTCGTTTGCCAACCTATTACATAAAAAAAGTGAAAGTATTTTTCAACACGTTCAATTGCTTTCAAAATCTATTAATACAATATAATCAAATCTTTCCTTTTTATATTATTACTATGTATATATAAATTAAACCTGAAAAATTATATAAAATTCCAAATATGTATGTAATTAATAACAAAACTAAATGACACACGCTAAGCTTCCATCCCTCACACACACACGTCCACTGCTTTAATTAAAACGTATTACGCAACAACCCTAGTGTCGGCTGTGTATTGTTTTATTTCTAGCTCTGTTATACAGGGTGTGTTCTCCAGAGATATGGCCGGGTTACGATACACATTGTGCGACTTAGCTCAATAGTGCTTCTGGAAATAAACTGGGTAGTTTTCCATTTTCACTTTTGTTGTGTTGATATGTTTGTTTTGGTAAAGTTATAATTACAATGAAAAGGTATTTTAAGATTTTAAAGATGAAGAATCTCAAGATCAAAAATTTGTTTAACCATTTCAAAACTTAGATAATTCAAATGGAAATGTTATATAGTGAATAATGCTTATCTAAAAAACGATATCACAAAGTCAAACTCAAAGTCAAATCATTTATTTCAAATACCACAACAGGCACTTTTCAACGTCAAGAAAAGCAAAAAACAAAGCAAAAAGAAATTATAATATCAAAAAGTTTTACATACTACGTGTCTGTCTGTCTGTCTATGTCCTCTATTGAAGCTATTTGCTCGTTCCAAAGTGTAGATTCCTATGGAGAAGAACGAGCAAAAAACTCCATGGTTACTCTTTTTCAAACAGTTTTACAACTCATTTCTTTGTTACGTCATTTAGTTGGATGTACCTACTACTAATCACCTGAAATCAAAATTTATTAAATCGTTAATACATTTTAAACCCATTGCTTTCATAAAAAAATACCAGACTAAATAAATACGCAACGTCACTTCTAAATAATATTAGAAGATAATATCTTGATGTCTATAGACAAAAAAATTCTCCGAAATACGTGAATGAATAAAAGATAAAAAAAGATCGTCCGTACCGTCACGGCGCGTCGCAAAAAGACGCAATTGTCTGAATAATTAAAGAAAGAAAGGAAAAAGGAAAAAAGAAAAACTGTCCTAGATTGATATTTATTTGTTGAGTGCCTAGTACTTTGGAATTTCGGTGTTATTTATTTAGTTTTTTTATATCGACTTCTTTATTATTTACGGCTATATTATATTCTACAACTTTAGAAAAACTTTGTCAACTTCTCTTTTCTTCTATATATCCTCATCAGCCTATAAGTGCCCACTGCTGGGCAAAGGCCGCTTCTTACACGAAGAAGGTAAACGCATTAATCACCACGCTTGCTCTTTCGAACTTATAATTAGAAATTATAAGTCCAGGTTTCTTCGAGATGTTTACCTTCACCGTATGTCAATGGCGTCTAAATAATCATAGAAAGTACATATAACTCGAAAAAAGTCAGATTGGTACTTGCCATGTTTCGAACCAACACCCTCATGCATGAGAAGCGGGCCCCTTAACCTCCGGGCCACCTCGACATATATTCTTCTCTTCTGTCTGCGCACAAAACTTATTACACAGAAATAAGACAAAAAGAAAATAAATATCAAATCTTGAAATGTTTTAATAAAATTGTAAATCTCCGTCGATCCATTAAATATTTAACTTAAGCCCAAAAGCCCTTCTAATCTTCGAGGATTCTTCGTCAAAAAACAGACGGATTACTTTCTCTAAAATCGTTTTTAGAATCTGATTTCACTGATCATCTTATCCCTTTTTTATTTGTTTATCCTTCTTAAATTTGTTTAGGTACGATAAATTCTTTTTTCTACCCATTGCTACTAGCAATATTTCATTTTAAAAGTCCAGATTCACTGTCCTCTACGTTTAGTCATCTAATTGTAACGGAGATGTCACAGCTCGGTTTGAATAACTTTTTGTACTTATTAATTAAATACTTTAGTCACAACCTGAGCTTTATTTCTTAGGTATTATCTACCAGTCTCCCTTGGCACGGTACAGGAACAGAGTAATGGCAGGTGCTAAAAACGAAAAATATATACTTATTATTATTTTTTTTAACTCTTTTAATAATCAATAAATTTATTGTATTCCACAAGCAAGCTTTGTGAGCTAGGTACTGATAATATTTTATAAATACATTGCTTAAGACTATTGTGGACTCTGATGGGAACGGCAAAATTGGATAGTGGATGTTATATGGAATGAGTCTGCCGCCATTGTCACTAATATAATATTAAATAACAATTGCAAATTAATTATATGAAGCTGCAGCACCCTAGCGTACTTTCATTCACGCGACCACTAATTAGTGACGTTCGACTCATTAAAATATGCTAATTATAATTAAGCCTGCAGCGAAATTTGCTCACAATAATTTGTAATGCTAAAATAACAAAAATAAAATATGTCTGTTTTGCCTTACTGACTAAAACTGTTCTTTTTCCTACTGAGTGTCGAAACTGTGGTACCTTATTGCGCTTACCGGCAAACCGGTCTCAACATCGGCCCTGTTGGGCCCTGTCGGTTAAACACCCCTGCAGTTCCACCCAATTACAACCAGTGTGGGAGAGTGTTAAAGTGTGGGAGAGCCATGCTTAGGCTCGACCGGAGTGATACCATGGTCTCACAGAAAATCGGCGTGAAACAACAATAGCTTTATGTTTCGCCATGTGATTAAGGCTACCTGAGGCCCAATCCTTCCCCTCCCCTGATCCCTACCCAATCCCTAAATCTCCAAAACCCTAATCCCTAAAAGATCAACAAAGCACTCGTAACTCTTCCGTTGTCAGTGTCCATGGGTGGCGCTGATTGCTTACCATCAGGTAATCCGTCTGCTCGTTTGCCGACCTTTACCTACATAAAAAACCAGGACCTACAACGCAGCACAAATAACTTACCCTACATCTTTATTCTTAAACATTTTCTCTCTTTAAATACACGTGCTGTGTACCAGTGCATAATTTCCTTCATTACTTCCGCCACCCTTGCACCAGGTGTACAGTTAATTTTATATATTCTGCGAATATATTTACGTCATTTTCATATAACGTTGTTAAGCGAAACGTTTTGTGTAAAGAATATTATGTTAATGTTGCCTCGACTCGTTTTAATTAAGCTTTTATTTTTTAATAGTGTCGTGTTTTACAGCAAATTTTATATGGCTTTTTAGGGTTTTTACGCAGCCATGTGATTCGCCTAAAAAAAAAACTTTTACAACTTATACAATGTTTATTTAAATAACTTTGTTTCTTGCAATCGTAATAAGATTATTCGTCTCCGCAGTAATTCAAAATTAAAATAAGCTCGAATTACTTTTTTAATCAGTAATTTTGTACACGTTATTAGTGATTTTTGTACCAGCTCCATTTCATTGTTATTAAGCATAAAAAATAAATAAATAGTACCAAAACTTACAAGAAAACAATAAATCATTCAAATAAAACTTAACCAACCCTTGTATTCAAAGTCAAAGTCATACAATTTATTTCAAATAATCCTTTAAAAAGTTACTTTTAACATATCAAAATTGAATTGTCCGTCAGTGAAACTAGATGTTCGTTCCAAAATATCAAGAAATATCATCGTTACTCTTTTATATATAACTTTTGCCATCATGATCCAAAATACTTACATTCCACTCGTTTGTTCCAGGTCTGCTGTCATGGGACGCAGGAGAGCACCAGGTCGACCTGGAGAAGGAGTTATCCACCCTCACGGCGCAGGCACCCGAGGGGGAGGAAGCTCGCTATGGTACGTACCTATTTACTTAACATTTACTTAAAAGACACGGTGCAGGTGTCCATGGGCGGCGCTGATGGCTTGTCATCAGATGTGATGTGCTATAAAAAAGTTTGCTAGAAGAAACAAGAAAACCGGTTCTGTTTGTACATCATATTGTTGTCACATACGTTGAATGAAGTTTTAGAATCAATACCAGAAATGGTCAGGTTGTTTTTATAAAATTGACGCACTAAACACTGATAAATAACTTACAATATTAAAACCACATTTAGTTGAAACGACGAGAAGTACAACGTACTTATTTTTAAATAGTATGGAACATACAAAATTTATAAAAAAATCGATACTCACGTGAATCAATTCAGAAAAGCTCTACTAGTTTCAATTCACAACAGAAATCTTGTTCACGATCAGCCTGCGCATCGCGGTGACGTCGCACAGCTGACAGATCGCGTTCCTAAACTTACAAAAAAGTAACTGACATACGGACAAAATCCCAACAAAACTTAACCCGATCAAAATGCAAAATATTTTACCTTAGCGCAAAAATCAATAAAGACTCCACCGGCCCATTATCACGCTGTTCAGCGGTTAAAATTAATTACAAATGAAGAGATGAATTGTCCACGCATCAAATTAACACTGTTTGCAACGAGACTCTTGAACAAAATTAACTAATTGAATGGTTTCAGAAGCAATTATTGACAAATTGCTGTAATTAAGAACGAGTATTGAACATGCATTTCATTTGATACATTTTAACATTGAAATGGCATTAAATGATGTTGATTTTGTGAAGCAACATTATTCTGGACATATTATTATGTATTGAGTACTCATATCATTAGCCTATAAGTCCCCACTGCTGAGCAAAGGCCTCTTCTTACACGGAAAAGCATTTGTGCATTAATCAACGCGCTTCTCCAAAGCGGATCGGTGATGCCAAAATCAATAGAAATTATAAATCAAGGTTTCCTCATGGTACTTTTCTTCTCCCTATCCGCATGAACCTCAAAGATCCAATAAACCACCAGTGATTAATGGGGCCTAACAGGGCCGATGTTTTCTCGGGGTTCCAGGTCAAACGCAATAAGGTCTTGGCCTGGAGCAAAAATATAACGGTGGGGGTTTTAGTTAGTAAATGACACTCTCTCTAGCTCGGCGAAAGAAGTCATTTGATGATTTTCCTTACACCGAAAGCGATCTTAGAAGTCTCAAATTTACTCTTTGTTGCACAAAAATCTTTGCGCATATATTATTTCAAAATCTATACCCTTTGTGTCCAAGTTCACGATGTTCTTTATTCAAATTTATCATATTTTTTATTTCATAGAGACTTGACGATTTAAATGGTTACAAATTCCAGCTTTTAATACGTAGATAGGGTCTAAGTTAAACAATAGATAATTATTTCAACCAAAAACCTTTTACACAACCAATACTGTTTTGAATCTGCCCATTACTTTCTGCGTATTTTAATTTAATATCGAGTACCTCTGCAACCGCTACTAAACTTTCGCGGTTTTCCCAAACCACACACAATATAAAGGGCTTACCTACAACTTTCGAAAATTAAATTTTCAACGCAAAATTTCAACACTATTAAAAGTTCTGAAAATCGGTTTTCATTTCAAAAATCAAGGTTTTGAATTTTGTTTGAGGTATTTAATATAGTAATTTATGAAATATAACTTTTTTCTAAACATAATACTGACTATGTTTGACGGCTTAATCGCGTAACTGTTTTGCAAAAAGGCGAGAGATGTCGCGACAGAGGCGACACACTTGTGTATCGCGCAATGCTGTTCGTGAATATGAGCCCCGAGCGTGGCTTGAAGTTAATCGAACTATCTCACTAAACAATTACAAGAGTAAAAAGTTAAGTTTATAATACAATAATGTATTTGAATAGAAAAATTAAGTTTAGTGAAAGAGAAAATATACAGGTACAATAGAAAATTACAAAACATAGAAAGGTTTTGTTCTAATTAGGTATTTATAATAATCTAAATTTGACAAATAATCATAGATTGGGGCAATGTCTTTCAAAAAAAAAAAAAAACAAAATAAATTTTGATGTGGTTTTTAATAGATAGAGATATTTAAAAGGGTGATGATACAAAATTTAGTAAAGGCATTGCATCCGTTTCGCATGGATGCAATGCCTTTACTAAATTTTGTCTAACAAGGATGCCAGGGTGGGTAGCTATTACTATATCAAACACAGTTTTTAAACCAACAACATCCGTAATATACGAAGTTAACTACATTGGCCAGGCTATTGAAATTCAACAACCCCATTGGTCCTTAACAACCAAAGCAGTCAAGCGAATAGGGGATGAAAAGAAAAAACATTTTTCGTAAATAAATATCATTTTCCTGAAGCCATTGTTCAATAGGACACGGTACGATACTTCAGGGAATAAGGCTTTATTGTATTGAACAAGGTGCTACAACAAAAGCAATTCACGGCTTATTTCACAAAACATTCTATTTAGTTCTCTAAGGATTCTTATTTGTGAGGAAATGTTAGTTCTGTGTTGATTTAAATGTAGTATAAACAATTTTGTCTATGATTTTATTAAATTAACTTTGTCGACATCACGTAATAAGAGTAAAATAGTTATTGTGTGTTACGTTCATAATATTTAAGCATTTAAATTGATTAAAAAAGAATATTACAGGCTGTTGAAGACTCTATATGGAACCAAGTCTGTGAGTTAAAAAACGTGTTAGCAGAGCTCTAGAAAAATATTCAATTGGTTTAATTTAAGAATTTATCAGCGAATCGCAAGGTGATGCAGTGGCTAAGCAACGGTCTGCTGTTATATGTGTAGCAGTTTCGATTCTCCCCTTTAATTACTTATGAATCAACCCGTAAACTAATAAACAAATAAGAATTTTTATCCCAACTTTATTATTTAACCAGCTTTTGCCCGCGGCTTCGCTCGCGCTAAAAAATATTATTATTAATTAGGTATAGTTTTTAAAGATTTTCTTTTGTTTAGCGTGCAGCCTTCCCGTATAACATAGGTACGCATAACGTAGGCGTTATAGTCGCTTTATGCATGCAAGATGCATACATAAAGCTACTATAACGCCTTCAGTCCAATCGGTTTAAAACTGACAAAGTTTTTATCCCCTTTTTATCCCCTTAGGGGTAAAATTAATCAAAATCCTTTCTTAGCGGATGCCTACGTCATAACATTTAACTGCATGCCAAATTTGATCAGTCCGATCCGTCCAGTGGCTTGAGCTGTGCGTTGATAGATCACTATATCAGTCACCTTTGAGTTTTATATATTTAGATAGATAGATATCCTTATCCCTAATTCTTGGCACGATTACGGATTTTATATGACTCTGTTTATTCCTCTGAACGATTGTCACAAACTTATTAACGATCGAGACTAATATCTTAACTTAAGTCTGTCGTAACACTCAAATAAATACTCTGTTCCATCTGTGTTTAAGTATTTTTTCTGTTGGCACTTTTCCAAGTGGGTTAAGGTCAGAAAGTCATCAATATGCTTATGAACAACTGCTTTTAAGTGTCTCTCATCCTTGTCAAGGGTAAATCCTGTCCTTGATTCTTACATAAGCTCTGGTTTTAATCGATTTGTCTATTTGTAGCGTGTGTGTATTAGCGTATATAATATGTATGTATAATGCCTTTCCTGTTCAAATCACATTGTTTTTGTTGATAGTGGTTCTTAATATTTTTCCAAAATAATATGAAACTTAGAGCATAGTAGTTCAATAGTAATAGTTTCGTGAGCTGATTAACTATGATAAAATACAATAAACAGTTATAATTTCTCAAAGTCTAAAGATAAAATTAGACGACAAAATATGCCACTAGCGAAAACAGCAATATAACAACTAATGTATTACTATTTATATATACCCAATCGAAGATGCATTGTCCGTAACGAAAACGGTGTATGTGAACTGTACAACAAATTTTAGGAGCAGTGTTAAAAATTGTCCAAGTTTTAAAAGCAATTCTACCATAGTCACTTATTTTCAGCATTCATAAAACCCTATCAATTTTTACCACATTTAACAATAGTCCTGCATCAACCGGGGATTTTCCGTGGGTGCACTTCTATAGTGCGTACAGGGATAATTGCCGGCTGATGTCCCATAACATTTAGATTAAAATTGTTCAACGGGCCTCTGCGAGTTGGCTTCGGCTCCTCGTACGCCTTCCAAAGGTTCGGGACCCTGTGGTCCCGTGAAAGGAAAGAACAAACAAAACAATAATGAAAGAAGAAAGGACCACTTCATATCAAAAAATAAACCAAAATAAAGATAATTAATCACTAAGCTTCGTAGCCTTCTTATCTTCTTTAATATTCCCTAATGGATTGACACTTACCTTAGTGACATCAGCACTTTATCTTCTCACAACACAAGCATTGCATCTCAAAAAACCTTTATTTTCATCTCCATAAAGTTGGTTTTACATTCACAAGAAGGTGCTATGATATCCAAAAATGCAAATAGCGTCCTTATTGTATTTTCAGCAAGGTTGGTCTTACAATGATCGCTATCCGAAGGTGCTATGCTGTCCTGAATGGCATTGTATACAGGGTTCAGCATGTTTGTGTTGACCGCTAATAGACCACAAAAGTACCCTTCTGTTGTATTCCCTTCTTATTGTTCTTTGTAGAGGCTTGTGTTACAGATGTGAGGGATCATCCAACGTTGTGCTTCATCATTTGTTGCTTAGATGATCAGGTTTAATTCAGGGGTTATTAAAGTCTAAAGTCGATAGTCAAAAATCATATTTCAATTAGACTCTTAAATACACATTTGAAGGTCAAACAAAGCTAAAAAATAGTATCAGTCTGTCGATCAGTCTTTTTAGTAAAGCTGTTTGCTCGATCCAAAGTAAAGATATTTTCCGATGGAGAATAACGAGCAAGAAACTCCATGGTTACTAGTTTTTTACTCCATGTTTATTATTTTGTGCTTTTGGCCATTTTTATTTTCTTTCTCAGTTT